TTTAACATCTAAGGTAAAAATGCAAAGCTATATGGCTTCTCTATCCTGGACCTAACTCAAATCCACCATCTTATCCTTAGGGTGAGAATAGACTTCCCTTTCCAACTTTTTTTCAAGCTGGTTTCTGTTAGCTAAATACAAAGTCAAAACAAATTATCATAAATTCGAAAAGAAGCAATAATTGGAAAATGATGCATCCACTCTCAGTACAAAGAACCAGATTTCAACAAAGCAAATAAAAATGCTATTTTTTGACATGTGAACATATTCTGAAGAATATTTCAATATACTGAGTGATAAACTATTCAACATAAGGCTGGATCACTATGAGTTGACCAAAGAGAGAGAGAGAGAGAGAGAGAGAGCGCGCGAGCGAGAGCGAGCCCAGCCGGTGTGGCTCAGTGGTTGAACATCAACCTATGAACCAAGAAATCATGATTCAATTCCAGTCAGGACACATGCCCAGGTTGCATGCAGGCTCTATCCCCAGTACGGGGCAAGCAGGAGGCAACTGATCAATGATTCTCTCATCATTGATGTCTATGTCTGTCTGTCTGTCTCTCTCTTTCTCTCCCCGTTCCTCTCTGAAATCAAAAAAATATATATTTAAAAAAAAATCTACCAGCATACAATACTTACTTAAAAGTAAAGGTATCAGCAGAGCAAAATCTCAAAGAAATACATAAAATATGCACACATGTTCATTCAAGGCTTTCTGTACCAACAGCCAGCACTCTTTCAAGTAAGCCTCTCTATACAGGGGTAAGTTTACAGTTCATTGTGACATTCTTTTGAGTTAATAAAGCTATTGTAATAATCATAACCTGCATGTCTTTTCCATATGAAAACCATGAGCCTACTTTTGCCAATCTCTGTATTTGGGAACAGAGATGCAAAACTGCTTCCCAAGAGTCCTCTGGGTTTGTCCTCTGGAAAAAGCTGGTTTCTCCCAACCATCAGGTACAGAGATGAGTTCTGATTCATCTACAGGAAAAAATTACACATCAGATTTTAACCTACTTTTGGACATTTATACGCATACATTTACAAAGCTTCCAAAACTCCCTTTGCATTTCCTTTTCCTATGCTTTTTAGATTACTCAGCAGTCGAAGAACAGGCCTCTACCATTACCAACACACTATTAAAACTACTTGTACACATTTCCGTGGTTACATAAAGCAAAGTGCCTTAAGGGCGAGACCCAACTTGGATCCACACTAATTAGCATACACCTGACAGACAGTGGTACTCAAGTAACTCCCACTGCACTACACCATGTCAGAGCTGAAGACTCAAATACCATTTTGTTTACAAGGCTATTCTAAATGTAAGTAACCTTTCAACTTTTACTGAAGGGAAGCCTGAGTATGTGTGTGTATATACTATGTTTGCATGTTTATGCAGGTGCATAAAACTTTTAAAAGCTGATTCTCTGGCCTGGCTGGCTTGGCTCAGTGGTTGAGCATCAACCCATGAACCAGGAGGTCACAGTTCCATTCCAGTCAGGGCACATACCCGGTTGTGGGCTTGATCCCCATGTGGGGTGTGCAGGAAGCAGCCGATCAATGATTCTTTCTCATCATTGATGTTTCTACCTCTCCTTTCCTCTCTGACATCAATTTAAAAAATATATATTTTTTTTTAAAAAAAAAGCTGATACTCTGGTGTACACCCTCTCTCCTTTCCTCTCTGACATCAATTTAAAAAATATTTTTTTTTTAAAAAAAAAGCTGATACTCTGGTGTACACTTTCACTTAATAATCACTGGTATAGGGTTTCAGGTTTCCTACAGTTTTCATGAGCCTTATTTCTGTATACTCTTCATAACAACTATGAAAGGTAGGAAGAACCACTATTATTTTTCCCACTTTATAGAAGACATTCAGTCTAAAAAGATTAGTGGCTTGCCTAAGGGGACATAAAGGTCCTCCTTTCATTAAAACAAAATGCTTCTGGCGGGCCATAAATTATCTTTCATATCATTTATTGAAACGCCTGGATGTTAGGAACCTCTTAAATCCAATAGCTATAACTTATATCCGTACGACTCAAAGGTAAGGTTCATAGGCCTGCAGCATGAGCATAAGCTGCAGGTGTTGGAAATGCAGTTGTTGGCCTCCAGCCCAGACCTGCTGAATCTGAATGTCCTCACCCATGTCTGTGTCCTTTACCATCAGCCCTTAACTCAAATACAGACCAATCTCCTATCCACGGCATCCCTCATTTGGCCAACGACTTCCAGCCATCGCCGCGGTCTAAGGTGTGCCCTCCGCAATTTCTTAGCCATCATGTTACCAAAGACGAAGTCCGCAACACCTGCGCTTCTGGGAGCCTTTAGCAGAAGCGATTATTAGGAACACCTGACCGACACCATATCCGCCAGACGGTTCCGCAGGCCCGGCCAATACCCCTAAAAACCAGCTCTTATAGGGACTCAACTTCAGAGAACAGACCCGAGGCGGCGTCACACGATCGCAACTGAACCTCCACACCCGGGCTTCGGTGCTCACACCACCTTACCTCGGTTCTCCTGCTTCTGCTTCTGGTTACGAAATTCACTCTTCCCAGCCGCCGAGGCTGGCCCGTTCGCCATGGAGGTCGCCATCTTGGAACTGCTTCCGGTGTTAACGGAAGTGGAACGGTTCTTAAATCCTTCCGGCTAAAACTCCCGGTACTCACAATGAGTGCCGTAGAACTCAGACGAGGAGATCTGCGCAGTCTCCGTGCGTGCCCTCGCTAGAATCCCGCGGATTTGTGTAATTAAGGCCTTTCTCAAGTTGCCAATGGAGAGTCAGGGACTTCTTTTTCAGGGTGCACCGAAACCACGGAGTTTGCCTGCATGCTGGGAATTGTAGTTTAGCATTGTAAGTTGGCGATGGGTTCCGTCTGTATTTTTCCCATGGCCTCAGAGTCCAACCCGGGAGGACGCACTCCAGGGTTTGGCCGCAGAGTGCTAAGTGACTATCACTGATGTCACTCCTTTGATAAATACTTATATGATAGTCACATAGGTGGTTGGCGAGGAGAAGGTACTAATATGAGAATATATGGATCTCAATGGCAGGAAGTGACAGTAATAACTCCCATTTATTATGAGATTACTTTGTACAAGGTATGTTATGTGCATATATCTAGTCCTTAAATCCAAAGTTATAAAGTGAGAAACTAAAGTTAAAACAAAGCAAGATTGATACTTTTTATGGAAGGTAAGTTTTCAAAGTCCTTGTTTCTGATGGTGATTTTCTAGGGTCTTGATATATCTCTAAGTCAACAGGACAGTAACTAAGAAGCACTTCTGAAGTATTCACTTCGGCCCAGCGGTTCTCAACCTGTGGGTCGCGGCCCCTGAAAATACATCCTGCATATCAGATATTTACATTACGATCCATAACAGTAGCAAAATTACAGTTATGAAGTAGCAACGAAAATAATTTTATGGTTGGGTCACAACATGAGGAACTGCATTAAAGGGTCGCGGCATTAAGAAGGTTGAGAACCACTGGAAGATTTCCCACCCTGACCCCACGCTACCCCTACACTGCATATTAGCTGACCTCAAGATGTGAGGTTCACCACTACTACAAATCTTTACGCTTCTAGGAATCTGAAAATTCTTAGACTCGCTACAGATAACACTTCTTTTGATGATTGGTCTTGTTGCTCGCCATTTAAAATGTTTTCTGCAGCACAAATAGAAGAAGTCTTTGATAGGCTGAATTCCTCTCTTCAGTGAAATGGGAAAAGAATGATCTGAAATCCACCCTTGTGGATTTTATCGTCTATAAAAGATTTTCAGGAGGTACGTGTAGAAAACAAATTGTTACTTAGGGACAGAAGATCCCAAGACATGATTATGTTAAGATTTTTGCTTTTATCCTATGTCTTATAGGCAGTGAATTTATCCCAATATTCTTACAATTTGCTAAAAAAAAATTTTACAAAGCCCTATAATAGAATAAATAGCAGATGAAAGTTATAAAGTGAGAAGCAATTCCTTCAATGTTCCCAGAAAAACCTAGCAGTGAGATAGACTTCAAATCCAGACAGTCTGACCATTAGTAGCTCTGGTACAAGGAGGGCTGGGTGTTTAGCCTCACAGCTTTGGGACTTCAGCTGCAACAGCACCAGATCTCTGGGTCTCCAGCCTGCTGGCCCACCCTGAAGATTTTGGACTTTCCAGCCCCCCATAATCATGTGAATATACTCTCTCTATTGTTTCTCTGGAGAAACCTGACCAATAAAGAACAAATCCAAATGGTTGAAAATCATATTACACTGTCACGCCCTGACTGGTTTGGCTTAGTGGATAGAGCGTCAGCCTGCGGACTGAAAGTTCCCAGGTTCGATTCCCGTCAGGGGCATGTACCTTGGTTGCGGGCACATCCCCAGTGGGAGGTGTGCAGGAGTCAGCTGATCGATGTTTCTCTCTCATCGATGTTTCTAACTCTCTATCCCTCTCCCTTCCTCTCTGTAAAAAAATCAATAAAATATATTTTTAAAAAAGAAGAATGAAGAGTACCTCAGTTTCAGATTACACTGTCAGAAAAGCATAGAGATATAACAATACTACTTTTCACCCACCAGATTGGCAAAAAACAAGTAATAAAAAAATATTTTTTAATGATAATCTGCTGGAGGAAAGAGCAGCCTTAGACAGTCTGGTAGAAATGTAAACTGTTACTGTCTTTTTGCAAAGTAATCTATCAATATAAAAATATATATATCCTTCCATAATCATGTTGTTGCTGGAAAACTGTCAACTAGAAATAAAGCACCATTCCATTAGGACGTATGTACAATTGTGTTGATTTCTGTCTTGTATAGAAGTAGTTCAGGCCCTAGTCGGTTTGGTTCAGGGGATAGAGCATCAGCCGCACACTGAAGGGTGCCAGGTTTGATTCTGGTCAAGGGCATGTACCTCAGTTTCAGGCTCAATCCCCAGCTCTGGTCTGGGCTCATGTGGGGGCAACTAATCAATGTTTCTCTTTCACTCGATGTTTCTCTCTCTCTCTCTCTCTCTCTCTCTCTCTCTCTCTCTCTCTCTCGATGGAAAAATATCCTCAATTGAGGATTAACAACAACAACAAAAAGAAGTAGTTCAGTGAAAGGTACTTTGGAGCCACACTGATAGTTTAGTGCCTACTGGCTATGTAGGCCTGGGCAAATTTTCACCCACCCCTATTCAGTTTCCTACAACGGAGAGAATAACTTTAACTCAGTGACTTTATACATGTAAATTGCTTTAAAAAAGTGATTTACATATGGAACACACTCGGTAGATATTAGCTATTATTTATAGTGGCAAAAAATAAAAGCATCTTGACTATCAATTAGAGATACAGTTAAGTAAATTGATGTGACCTTCATGATTGTGAGATATTATGCAACCATTCATAAGAATTAAATATATATGGAGAGATTACCTAGAGGCATTGAGTGATGAAAGCCAGATACAGAAAGATGGGATAATTATATACATAACTATAATTACATTAAAAATTATATAGTAGTTATATATACACATATATAATTATCCCATTTTATAAAGCAAATCAGTAATTCATTCAACAAGTATTTATTGAGCATCTATAATGTTTCAGGTGCTATTCCAAATACTTGGTCATGTTCTATGTGTTGGGTATAATAATAATTATATATAATTATTATTTTACTTTATACATTACTTTACTAATTAGATAGATAGATAGATAGATAGATATTCCTACAATGAAAAACTATTTGGAAGGAAATACATTAAACTTTCAAGGCTGCCTATCTTAGGGATGAGGGTGATTAGAAAGAAAATGCAAGTAGGAAAAACGACTAGAGATGATAGGTGTTCATTATGAAACATCAGGCGTATGACTTTGTTCACCTAAAACTGTCTATGTGTGTGTGCCTGCATAGGGAGATCTGTAAAATGAGAGTCAACAAAATGTTGACTATTACCTCTCAGTGCAGTGACATTACAAAGGATGGTCATTTAAATAACAATAGTCATAAATCAATTACAACCGTATCATTTTATTTTAACATTCTTGAGTATCTGAGTACAAATATGTACTCATATCTGCAGGGTTATTCCCAGAAATTGCACAAATAACACTAAAAGGGGAAAGAAAATATATCACCTCTAAAGAGTTTCTTGGCATAAATCTGGCCTGGAACGTCCTCTGTGGGTCACAGCAACAGCAGGCAGACCTGTTTTGACTGTGACTTTCCCCTTCGTGGGCCCCTTAGGCAATCTGGACCCACATACAGCCATCCTCGTCCTCCTACAGATGTGCTTCACCAGCCTTACCCTGCTCATTCATTTTCCCATGCAAAGCAACTTGGCCTCACAACACTCCTTTGGACTTAGAGGCCTTCATTCCCACAAAATTAACCCAGATGTTATGGGCAGAGAAATCAGGATGCAGCTTAACAATGTGGGGAATTGGGGGGTTGCACCTATCTTTTATTAAGAGCAAAAACACTGGGCAAATAAGCATGGTTTACTTTTCATTTAATACTTTTGTATTCATTTACTAGCATAAAAATTATTTTTGCACAGGAATGTATTTTTTTAAATAAGCAATTAAGAAAAGATTTCTCCAATACGTAGGTTTGAGCATTTTTTATTTTCTAACATATGCAAACTGCTTGCTACTCCAGTCAACCTCACAGGAAGGTTTAAAATCTTAAATCAACATATATCTACCCACATCAATAACAGTATGCTTATAAAAATAAGGCCCCTTCTAACTCCAAGTGATTGCCTAATAAAATAGGGATCGAGTGGTAACAGTCAAGAAGACACAACACAATAAAGCAGCCTCATTCTAAACTAACCATATTATTAACATGTATTTAGAAAAATGATGTCAATAAAAGTGAACTGTTCTGCATGAAAGCTTAGGGAATGTGGGAATCTAGGAGACCACATTTGAGAAGCATATTCAGCCAGCCTTGGACTGTTTCTGGCTGTGCAACAGGATGTTTCATGTGTCATTCCCATGGTTGGTGCTGGGATGAACTATCCCTGCAGAATATCCACCTTGTCCTGCAAGGCCACTCATAGTAAACTCTCTGGGGGAGGAGATATGGTGAACTGCTTTGGCTGGTAACCAGCAGTTGGGTCTTGGGTAGGCACTACTTAACCAATCTTGTGGTTCTTGAATTGTAAAATGGGGGAGCTGAGTTAGGTTACTATTTCTCAAACTTTAGCCAACCTCAGAATCAGTTGGGGGGATGGCCCAATTCTCACTTTATAGTTCCGTAGGTCTGGACTAGGGCCTGAGAATTTGCAGCCCCAACAAAAAAGAATTATCCAACTCAAAAGTGTTGAGAGTGCCAAGATGGAGAAACTTCCATCTATAGCTGTTCTTAATTTCTGTGATTCTACTGTAAAGGGTCAGTAAGTGCTTCCCGTCTAACCAGGCCCGCCATGAAAGCACAGCTCTTTTCCTCTGTGTTTATCTACTTAGGGCAGCACTTGCTGTTCTTTATGCTGGCCTCCTCCGTGGGCAATCTTGCTTCATTTCCCTCTGCTCCTGTCATTCTGGAATCCTGTTGTCTCGTTACCCAAACAAACAAGGGCACTTGTACATGCAGTAGATGCTTAAGGTCTAAAGACACTCATTCTGCTTGACTGTTGGTCTCTCCAGGCCCCAGGCCCATGAAACATTAATATTTCATTGGGAAAGATTGCTATTTACAGGGCAATCTTTCTTCTTTCTCTTCTTGGTTGTTCTTATTGATAAGCAATAGCTTTGATTTAATTTTAGCACACTATTCTTCTCCCTAAAGAGAGGCTGGACACATTTATGGTATTAGGTTCCACCATAGCAACAGAAGGCTTTTTAATGCATGCATGAATATTCAAGATTTAATCAGTGGCATGTGAAATGTGTTGATACCGCTGAGAATTATTTTATGAAGATAGAACAAGCAAAACTACAGTCTTTTATTTGTTGACATGACACTGGGAGAACATATGAACTTTTCCAGAATGCAGATTTCTAATCAATTATTAAATCTGTATGCCTCTCCCATCTTTCAGATAGTGTTAACTGCAGATGGCTTGCGATGAAATGAACTGTTTAGATGAACTGTTTTAAACATGCAATGGGTTTCTACTTAACAAGGCATTGTATGATGTCACCATTTCAAAATGTGACATTGCTTATCCTTTGTTTCAGATTCTCTAATTAAATACCCTAGCACCACAGAGACATGAAAATTCAGACTTTAATACTACACTGTGCCTGTGATCACCTAACAGCTATTGTAACCTCTTTCGGTTTACCAGTTGCTCTACTACTGTGATGAAATCTATGGGCCCTTTCCCTAGAAAAGC